TTCTTCTTGGTATGTCATTAAGTTTTCAAGGGCCTGGCCATAACCCATTCATTTCATTCAGGTGTTTCAGAGCAGGGTTGCATTCAAAAATTATCGGACAGTGGGATTTGAGGACTGGAATTGCGGACCCCTTTGAGACGTCACATTGGCTCTGAGCTTGGTCAGAGTCTGGGCAGAAGTTTTACAGACGTTTCTCTATTAAGCCACGAAGGAGACAGAAACCTGAAAGTTACCAAGTTACGACTCTCTGCCCAACAGAACCATGGAGTGGTCGTCTCTCCTGACACCACCACCAACGGTGATGCAGACCAGACTGAGGAGGAATCTCCCTCCCGATTGGCCGAGGACTCGCCTCACAGCGGGAGAGAGAGCATGCTTGGTAGGAAGGAGTAATTGGTTCATTTTACTAAAACTTTCAGACATCTAGCCAAACCTTTGATTTCCTTTAATCATCACTTCTGGACAGGAGACTAGAGTGCATGAAGTCGATGATTGACCTGAGCATGTTTGGTTTTCAATCAGCTCGTTAACTTGTGGGCCTCATCCTGAAGAACACCTGAGCTACTGTTCTCCTGTAATTCCTCTGTGATCCTCCTTTTTTTATCAACTCGGTTAATCTCCTACTTTCTGCTTTCCTTCCTGAATGTCGACTCTGTTTGGTCTTCCAACGTCTCTTCATGATCTTTCAGGGAAGGCTTCACAGCAGAAGCCAGCAGATGGCAGCAGAACTCCTCAAAATGTCCCCAAACACAAGAAGAGGTCGCTGCCACAGAACGTGATCTCGGTGAGCGACCAAACCAAACCGTCCAGAGAAAGACAAAACCCAACTGAGAAACATCCAGGCAGAAACCGACAAACACGGAGCAAGGCAGGTGAAAAGAATCGGCCAAAGAAGCTTCCTGTCAGAACGGATGGAAATGAGGCAAAAAAGAAACAGCCTAGCAAAGAAGATCCAGCTCACAAAGTCCTCAGGTCCAGACTTGTTCCACCGCGACCTGCTAAAGATATTATCCTGGATAACAGAGCCATGGTGCTGGGCCTTTCAGCTGCTGAGAAACTGAACTCTCCATCTGAGGAGGCGGTAAAGCAGGATGCCTCTTTGGCTCTGCAAAGTGAATCTTCCTCTGAAACAAATTTTGAACAAAAGCATATGAGTACTTCAGATCTGGATTCCCAAAGTCAAGATGAAGACAGGAATGCGGAAGATAACGTTTCAGGTTTCAGTGAAGAAGGTCCCAGCCTTAAAGCTGCAGCAGAGTCCAACAAGTCAAATGTTGAGGCTGTAGGTGGTGAAGAAGGCTTCGTCAGGAGGACTGAAGCCAGTCCAGAAACCAAAGTACATTTCACATCTCCTGAGAACCAAAGCATTGGAGAACCACTCCAAAGAGCTGCTGAGGTACACAAAGCTTGCCCTGAAAGCCCAAAGAGAACACCCCCCTTTGTTCCAGAAGAAATGTGGACCAGCTTGGAGATGAATGTTCAAGATTTGCTCCAAGGACTAGAGGATAAACCAGGGTTTGTGGTAGAAATTTCAAGAATCTTCTCAGAAATCCTGATGTGTCTCCACCACTGGATCTCAGATTTGGAGAACACACTAAGGAACAGAGCAGGACGTGAGTCCTGTCTGAATGATAGAGGTGCACATGAATCAGTGTGGCCATTGAGGGGAACCAGACTCTCCAAATGGCTTCTGACAAGCCTAACCAGAGAAACCGCAGAAGGTCCTGGATGTGAAGAAGGACATCTGGCTGGACGTTCTTCATCACCAAGAGTCAGTTCAGCCAGAGAAAAGATGGAGGACCCACCTGGTTCCTCAAGCAGAGTTTGTTCAACTTGTCATGATCAGTCTACCACCAATGACGAAAGAGAGATAACGTCCAGCCCAAGAGATGTACAGCTGAACGCTGAGTCTGAAGCCAGTCCACCTGGTTCTCTAAAAAGCATATCTGGAGACTTTGTTTTTGTTGAGTCACACTTTTCTGAATCTTACAAGAACTCAACAGACTCCACGCCTGACAGTCAAACCCATGTTCTGACTTCTGCCAAAGACTCAAAGGAGTTCAGAGGGAACCGCCCTTCATCAGCACACTCCAGTGTTGGACAAAGTTCCTCAGGAGGACTCAAGAGGTTCATGGAGGTGACCGCTGAAGAAATCAGAGCAATGGCTGTTCCTGAGCTGGCTCTGGTGGGCCTCCAGGAGGGACGGCGGCTGGATCGGTCCAGTATTGGTTCTGTTGAGGAGCTGTCGGTTGGAGACATGGACAGCTGTGAGGAGGCTGATGAAGAAGAGGAGGTCCAACTGCTTCCACCACAGCAACAGAACCGATCCACCATGGAGGCTGAGGTCCAGGTTATCGCTCCATCGCTGGGCACCATGGAACCAGAGACAGAACATGAAGAATCCGGATTGGACAGCAGGAAAAATGACAACACAGATTGCAATATTTCATGAGCTCAGGAGCGCCCTCTGCTGCTGGTCTTCATGAACATTGAACACATTCATGTTCAAATGTTTATGTTAGAAGAAACATGTTGACTGGTAGTTCTGGTTAGAGCCAGAAGAAAGCAGAGACTCACATCAAGCGTTAGAATCTGGAAATCTAAATGTGTGGACTAACCAATGAAGGTTTGGAGTGACTGATGAGAAGGTAGCTTTGAATGATTTGGAATGACTAATCTTCTGAGTATAACATGTAAGTTCCTACTGAGAAGATGTGTTCCTGAAATATGAGGATAGAAAAGTTTTCATATCTGGTAATAAATGTTTATCTGAATCCTGGAGTTCTGTGTTTTGGTGGTTTTGTTCCAGTCATCAGTAGATGATGTTCTCCACACCTGAAGGGTAAGCTGACTTCCTGCTCCGTGTCTCCAGATCACATCAGAAATCATGAGAAGTTGAAATGAAATGATTAAAAGTTAATTTTTAATAATTCACCATAATTGATGTAATTAATGTTAATTAAATCAAATTGGAGATAATGATCACTTCACCAGCTGATTATCTCCACCATGAAGGTCCAGATCTCCATCCAGTGAATCTTAAGCTAATCAGTGGCGTTCCTCAGAGCTGTGCTGTTGGTCCTCTTTGGTTTGCTCCAGATGGTTCTTTGACTCCCGGGCTGCAGTTGACCATCTCACCTCCTGGACCTTCAGGTTGAGCTCACTGGGAGTTCAGGGAAGTCGTTGATTGTTGCTCTCTGTTTCGTTTCAGAGCTGCGGATGAAGAAACTGTTTGATGACAGAGAAGGGTTACGGGATCAGGTTCGATCTGGAAACCTTTTGGTTTAAAGTCTAAAAAGGCTGAAACATCTTCTAGAAAATAACGTTAATCTGTTAATGTTCAGGTCAGACTTCTCCAGTCTCAGCTGGATCAGAGGAACGGGGTGGATGGAGTCCAGAACCCAGGGCAGAACCCCCAGGAGAACGGCATAGACCCTCATCTGCTGGACCTGCAGAGTGAGTTCCTGACCAGGTCTGGTGTTGATCCACTGCAGGATCGATCGTGATTCCTCTGCTTGGTTTCCACCAGGAGACGCTAACAGACAGATCAGCGAACTCAAGTTCAAGTTGGTGAAATCTGAGCAGGAAGTCACAACTCTGGAGCAAAATGTGAGCCTTCATGTTTCCATCGGTTCATTTCCACTCTGCTCCTCCAGCCGTCAGTCTGAACCTGGACTGCGTTTTGTCTTCAGGTGCTGCGCCTTGAGGGTCAGGTGTGTCGCTACAAGTCAGCGTCTGAGAACGCAGAGAAGATTGAAGATGAGCTGAAGGTGGAGAAGAGAAGACTGCAGAGAGAGGTGAGAGTGCCCCCTTAGGTTGGTTTTCTGTGCGGACCGGTTCTGGTTAAAAACGTACGGTTCCTTCCAGCTCCGCTCGGCTCTGGACCGCATCGAGGAGCTGGAGGTCAGCAACAGCCACCTGTCCAAGCGTCTGGAGAAGATGAAGGCCAACAGGAACGCACTGCTGGCCCAGCAGTGAAGCTCCGTCCTGGGCCGGGTCTTCAGACCGCCGGGCCAGGTCCAGAACATTTCAGAGACACTCGTGAACCGAAGACAATCAGGACCAGGTGGTGGAGGAGCTGAAGCTGAGACAGGATGCGCAGGGTCGTCCAAAATGTTTCCTTTTCTGAATCCTTCTGATCACAATCATCTCCAGCCGTCAGCACATCAGTCCAGAGAGAGCAGGTTCTGATCCGGTCTGGTTCTGATCCGGTCAGGTTCTGATCCGGTCGGGTTCTGATCCGGTCAGGTTCTAGTAGACAAATAATCCGAAACGGCTCTCAGGCTCCGCCCCCTCCCTGCTCTGATCCAGGCCCGCCTCCAGGGCTCTGCCCCGCAGCAGCTGGTAACCATGGTAACTGTAGACCATGGCATCTTGTGATTGGTTGTTGGAGGAACCAAAGTTACTCTGAAACTGATCCCAGTTCAGTGGTTCTGTTTCTCCTCACTGACTGCTTCAATCCGGTTCAATCTAGTTCAAACCAGATCAAACTTGTTCAAACTGTTTCAAACCGGTCTGGACCTTTACAGTTTATATTTTGTTCTCTGTTTTTCTCTTCTGTTTTTATGTTTTCTTTCTGGAATATCGTTTAGCCTTTTTCTGACTTATTTTATATCATTTTAGTTAGTTCTTCATCACAAACCATAGCAAACTGGCCTGGACCCTTTGAGTCAGTTTATATTTTAGTTTCTGTGTTTTCTTCTGTTTTTTTTTCTGCTGAAATGTTGTCATCCCATTTCTGACTTATTTTATTTGATTTCAGTTTGTTTTTTCTCACAAACCAGATCAAACCGGGTCAAACTGGTCTGGACTCTGCAGATTTAGTTAATATTTTGGTTTCTGTGTTTTTCTCCTCCTTTTTTCTTGCTGAAACCTTGCCGTTATCTCATTTCTGTCTTGTTTTGTCTGATTTTAGTTGTTTCTTCTCACAGACTGGACAGGCGGTTTTAACCAGTTATTAGTTTAGTAGTTCTTCATCTTTTTGACTTGTTTTATTTTTCAAACACTTCTGTTGGCTCATCCTTGCTTATTGTTGGAAGTGGATGAACTCCAGGCTAGAAGTGGAACTTGGTGACAAACGTCTTTGAAACTCAACCGGTCCGGACAGAACCAGTTTGGACCATCAGGGAATGTAGCCCCGCCCACTTTTCTGTTCAGGAAACACAGGGGGCGTGGCCTCTGGACTCACCTGATTGGATGTTACCTGACAGCCAGGATGTAACATCAGCAGCTTTAGGTGAATGAAGGGTTCTGATCGTGGAGCTGAACAGAACCGACCCAACACAGCTGACTGACAGCCAATCACAGCGCAGAACCTTAACAAATTAATCCCAGTAAATCCATCGTCATGACGAAGGTTCAAACATTTTAGATTCACTGCTATTTATTGTGAAAAATAAAACGTTTCAGTTGGAGAGACGTGAAGCTGTGAACTGATTCCATGTTGAGTTTCATTTTCTGCTTTTAGTTATAAATATTATTACCATCCTCACTGCTGCTCTTTTCTTTTAGATAAACAACCAGGATTTAAATCTGTCATTTTATTCTGTCTAGTGAAAAGTGCAAAAGACGGATTATTAAAAGAAGCAGAATGATTACATCATAAGACAGTTAAAGTTAAACCTTAAAAGAAACCATAAAATGTATTTTTGGTTGTGTTTCCTGCTCTCCTCTGTCCTCAGCTGTTCTGGTTTCCTCTAATTGGACTCACCTGGTTTCCATCTCATCACTTCTCTGTATTTAAACTCTTTGGTTCTGATTGTTCAGGTTTCTCACAGCAAAGTGAATCAGATGAAGCCTGACTGTACTGCTGCACTGCCATGTTAAAACATATATAGATTTAATGTTATCAGTTCATTAAACAGACTTATAACAGCGTCAGTAAAGAAGCAGGGAAACATCTGAAAATAACAGCTGTAATTTTAGTTAAAGGTCCAACATGTAAAACTGAACAGTGGTGGACAAAACAGGACACCGTCAAAGTTTATAAATCTAGAAACAGGAAGTTGAATCTTCAGTTGCTCCTCAATATGACCAATCCCATGTTCTGTTTATTTGTCCTCTTCCTCTTCCTCTTCCTCTGGTCCTTCATCCTCCTTCAGGTTGAAGGTTAGCATCTGGAGCAGCTCTAACAAATCAGGAGATAAACACCGACAGTTTCAGTATGGCAAGCTGTATAGCACAATAATTGAGTTAATTCATTCATTCCTGGTTTCCTGCCAGACTCAATCATCTGGGTCACCAGTAGCAGGTGTGGCGTTCGGTTCTGGACTCACCTTGTTGGAAATTGGGGCTCTGGGAAGAACCCAGTTTGGCGTAAAGTGGAGGATCCATTGTTTCAACAAGGCTGATCATCTTCTGACAAGCTTCTGTTCCTTTCTCCTTCAGGATCTCCACCAGGCCGCTGGCCTTGTTCACTCTGGTGTGGTTCTTCTCCACCACTGATTTTCTCTCTGACGCAGTGAGCACCTTGTCCGCTACCAGGTCCTTCAGCAGCTGCTCCAACGTTTTATTGGACACTTTCTTGATAAAGTCAAGCAGCATGATCTTCATTTTCTTTGCTGCAACATAAATAAACAGATAGTGGGAATTTGATGGAAGGTGTTCCTGTGGGTCCGAACACGAACCAAACACAAACCTCGTAGAGCTGTTGGAGAAGCTGGGTTGTCCTGGTCCTCGACTTCAGGCAGTTCTGTTGGTCATGAAGATGAGGCGTTAGATCAGCAGGTTACTGTCAGGTTATGAACGATGTCTGTAAATGTGACAGACCTGAAGTCTCCTGGATTTCATTCAGAGTTCTCTCTAGCATCTCTCTCTGGTCTGAGTTGTACATCTGCATCATCAGGTTCATGGTGTCCACTTCCTGCCCCTCTGCCTGAGGACCCCTCTTCAGGGAGGCGTGCTTCAGCTTGTCGGTGCCCTGCAGTAACATCTGGCAGTATTTAAGGTCCTGGTCCCCCATGTCCACAAACATTTCCAGGATCCAGTGCTGCAAACCACAACATGAGGAGCTTAACAATCACGTTTCTCATCACCCAGACTAGCCGTTACTCTGGCTACCTGTGCCGTGTTGGTTTTGATCTTCTCCAGGATCTTCTCTGTGACCTCTTTCACCTTTCCAGGGTACATCTGCACCAACAGGTCCAATGTGTCCAGTCTGTCTGCGTGCTTCAGACGGTACCTTTTGATTGGTTTGAACCCGTCTTTGGTGTCGTCTGCAATCCGCAGGTACCAGTGGAAGTAATTCACCTCCCTGTTCTTCAGATCCTCCAGAGTTTTCTTCAACCAACGCTTCAAATCCTGAAAAGAAAAATGTACTTAAGGCTCATTATGTTAGGAACGGTTAGAGGACATAGACCATGGACTGAACCTGAACTCTTAATGTCTAGATGATGATCAGAGCCAGTTCCAACCATTTATCTTCCTCAGAAAGACATTTGTGCTGAGGACAACAGAGGGACAGACGGTTTGAAGGTAAATGACTCACAGCATCTTTATCTCCTGGAGGGCAGATCAGGCGCCAGCATTCCTCCTGTTCCTTCGTCATCTCCCTCGTTCTTTGGATCATAAGATTAGAAGAAAATAGGATGACGGTTACAGAGTGATCAACCATAGCCCAACCAACATGACCGCTGAACTTTGGGCATCAGGAATAGTTTTCAGGAAGCTTTTAAAGTTTCAGATCCATGGACCAAATGAACCAGATTGGTTTAGATGGATGACTGGGTAAGAATGTTGGTGAATCTGGTGAAGAACTTGAAGAACTTACTTCTTACTAGTGAAGAGCTGTTTGAAAGACTTGTGACCTGGAGATATTTAAAAAATAAGACGTTGTTTAGCTTCAACCCCAGGACTGAGGAGAATCAAAGCAGCTGTTTTTAGAAAGGTGCAGACTAACCTGGGGTAGAAGGTGAATGCAGCTCAGAGGACAGGCGAGGGTTGATGGTTTGAAGACGGTTCATCAGCTCTTTGGAGGCGTCGGTTCCCTTCTCCATCACAATGTCAACGAAGCAGCTGGCCATGTTGACCCTGGTGTGGTTCTGAAGGATGGTCTCCTTCTCTGATGACATCAGGGTCTTGCCAGTCATGAGAGCCTCCATGAGCTGTGATAACGTTTCTTTTGGTACCTTCTCCACAAAGTCATTAAGCATCCTGGTGAGCACTTTCTCTGTGGGCAGAAACACAAGGACATCACTGAGTTATTTGATGGAAACTTTACGATGAAGGCCAGATTCTGATGAACATACCAGATGTACTTTCATTTGGAGACGTTGGAGGAATCTGCTCCTCCACCTCAGGAAGACCTTTGTCTGTTGGGAACCAGAATAAATGTTTAGCAGGAAGTTGGTCTGATGTTTCAAGCATTTCCTCCCATCTGTCAGACCTTTATTGCTCTTAATTTTCTCCAGGATCTTCTCTGTGACCGTCTTGGTGTTTGAGGCGTACGTCTGGACCATCAGGTTCACCGTGTCCAGCCGGTCTGCGTCCTCCAGCTGACCCTTTTTGATTGGTTTGAAGCCATCCTTGGACTTGTCCGCAGTTTGAAGGAACCAGTGGAAGTGCTTCATCTCCTTGTCGTCCAGCTCTAACAAAGTGTCCAGAAGCCAATCTTTATAGTCCTGCCAGTGTTGGAATAGATTTAGTTAGAATCCAACCACTGAGCTCATACTGACTCTGGTATGAAGTACAGTAAAAGTATATTTACATGTCCTTTGTCTTTATGCATCTTCTTGAAAATCTTCTGTGCCACCATCTTGGTGGTGTTGGTGTAGATCTGGACCATCAGGTCCACCGTGTCCAGTCTATCTGCATGCTCCAGGCGGCATTTCTTGATCGGCTTGAAGCCATCCTTGGACTTGTCCGCGGTTTGAAGGTACCAGTGGAAGTACTTCATCTCCCTGCTGTCCAGATCCTCGAGATGCTCCTTCAACCACTGCTTGATGTCCTTTTTAAGTAAAGTGGATAAATGACATCAATAGCTACCAGGATTTTGGCCACAAAAGATTATATCAATAGCAGTTTGCAAAGTATCTTCTAAGACAAGTGAAGAAAAACTGTTTCCAGAGTCTGACCATCACTATCAACCTTCCAGGACTTTGTCAAACCTCAGACATCAAACTCAGAGACATTGGATGGTGACTTACAGCATCGTTGTCCCCTTCAGGACAGATCTGCTGCCAGACTTCCTTCTCATCATCGACAGGTCTTTGGGTCAAATGATGAAACTAACATCAGTGAAGGTTCACTTTTATGGAAATATCAGTGACAGAAGAAAAACCTTGCACATTAAATCTTGTTCCAGCCCCTAAATAGACCAGCTTAGGACATGTAAATGAGTGTGAGTTAGATTCCTAAACTACATCTGGACACTTTCTTATAAGTATCCAGAGGTGAGTGAAAGGTCTGCATGAGGTAACAGTTATTGGATCAATAGATATATTGATTTAAATCTTAATTCATGTGACACTAGTTTAATGTAAAACTTGACAAAAGCTCAATAGTTTCTCAGGAATGTTGCGAAAACTTACTTCTGGTAAGGTTTAAGAGAAAGGAATTGTTGAATGGCCGGTTTACAAACAAGTCCTGGTTCTGATACTGGTTTGGTTTTGAGTTCCTGTGAACTTTGACCTGATAGACAATTGGAAACATCATGTAAGGTCACAAAGCTCAGGATGTTTGGATGTAGACCCTTGAACCGCCAGCAGAACTCACCTTGCTGAACAACTGGACCAGAGGACAAGCCCAGCTTGGAGGACAGTGGAGCATCAACAGCCTGAAGGTGGTGGATCATCTTCTTACAGGCAGCAGTTCCTTTATCCATCACTGTGTCAGCAAGGCAGCTCGCTCTGTTTCCTCTGGTGTGGTTCTTCTCCAGGATGTGTTGCTTCTCAGAGGACTTCAACACACCGTCTGCTGCTAGAGCCTCTGACAGCCGGGTCAGGGTTTCATTTGGAGCTTTCTTAACAAACTCCTCCAGAACCTTGGAGACTTCTTTCTCTACAGGACGGAAGACAAAGGAACTGAGTGAATGTCGTCAAACATGTTGAAGATTCCCTGATCTGATGGGTTAGGATCACAGGAAGGAGACTCTCCTGGTCTCGCCACTGGAGTCCTTCTAGGCTCAGAACCTGGACTCCTTCTACAATCCCTGACCGGGTCAGAACATCTGACAACACGGCGTCTCAAACCACCGCTATGTTGATGATACTCAGCTGTGTCTGTGTTTGTCAGGAAACTGAGGCCGTCTCTCTGAGCAGCTGTAAAACTGAACTGCTGCTCTTCATCCTGACCCTCCATCATATCTGCATCCTAACTAAACTCCAACCACTTCACATCATGAACTCTTACTTTCTGCTTCAGCTGGAGAAGATGGCTTCATCTGCTCCTCAGCTTCTGGTATGTCTTTGCCTGTTGGAGCCAATAAAGAGTCGATATCAACGATGATCCAGTCAGTTGATGATCTGTGAGATGTTTACAGACCTTTGTTGTTCTTGATCTTCTTCAGGATCTTCTCTGTGACCTCCTTGGTGTTTGTGTCGTACGTCTGAACCATCAGATCCGATGTGTCCAGTCTGTCTGCGTCCTCCAGGTCCTTCTTTTTGATGGGTTTGAAGCCGTCCTTGGATTTGTCTGCCGTTTGCAGGAACCAGTGGAAGTACTTCAGCTGTTTGTCGTCTAGATTGTCCAGGGAGTCCAGAACCCAGTTATGAACCCCCTGGATAGAGGAAGAAATGAACAGTTCACTGAGAAAATCAACCAGACTGAACTTAATGCTTCATAGTTTATGCAGCTGTATTTATAGACATTATATTTACATGTTTTCTACGACTGTTGACCTTGTCCATAATCTTCTGGGTGACCTTTTGAAAGTTTTTGGGATACGTTTGGAGCATCAGGTCGACTGTGTCCAGTCTGTCAGCATGCTGCAGGCGACTCCTTCTGATTGGTTTAACATCGTCTGCAGTTTGCAGGAACCAGTGGAAATATCTCAGCTCCCTGTTGTCCAACTTTTCCAAGGTCTTCTTCAGCCAAAGCTTCGATTCCTTTCAAAATAAACCAACAGGGTTGATACTGAAACAACACGGATAACTCCAGATTCTCTTGTTTAGAAACAAAGATGAAAACTTACAGCATTTTTATCCCCTGGAGGACAAACTGAGGGCCAGAAGTCCGCCTGGTCTTCAGTACAGATCTTTTGAACAAAACTAGGAGAGACAGAAGGTTTAAGTTTGACTAACATGGACTTTATTTGAGCTTTTATTCCTTTATAAACAGTGAAAACAGACAGAAATACCAAACTGTAAAACACTTTGGAGCGAGGCATGGATGAAAACAGGAAGAAATAATCCCAGCTTACCCCTGAAGGAGCGAAGCCGTGTTAGCAACTTTAGCTTTAACTTCACTCTGGAGTCCAGGTGACTGGATCCGTTCAGGTTCATGAAGTTCTGCTCTCCTGAGAATCAGGAAATGTTTCAGATGAATATCCATCAAAACGTTTATCTCTGCTGAGTGACGATGAATCTGCAGCTTCCGACTCCGAGTCACATTGAATGAAAACGGTGTCCAACATTTGTGGCACCGTCATTTTAAAGACGTTAAGAAATGTTTCCAGAGGTCATCAAAGGTCAACTAGCCAGCCCACAAATCAAATGAACTATGGTGCCAATTAACTGAGATACGTTTGTGCTGGTTCGCTGAATTTTTTTTGTTTGCAGCATCATAATTTCAAAAATTAAAAAAAGAAAACTGAAAGTAAAAAAACTGCTCTTGCTCCTGAAACGGGACTGCTTACTGAAAAGGACAACACCAGGAGGGACATGCTGAGGAGCTCTTAGAGGCCGGTTTGCTGGGTTGACGTCCTGCTGATTGCTTCTTACTGGAACACATGAGAACAACGTGATGGAGACGGTGTAGTCAAATCCTGAGATATTGTGAGGAAATGATGGGAGGGTCATCCACCTCTTCTCCTGCATCCTGAGATCTGTGATCCTGAAGTTCTCCTGCAGGACAAACAGCATCACCTCCTTTAATTACTGCAGCAGTTCTGCTCTCTGGCCACTAGGGGCGCCTTGGAGCTGAACTACAGTAAGCAACCAGTAACAGATGTTTAACTGGTGCTGGTTGATTCTCTTCAGAACCTCACAGGTTAAACTCCTGACTTCAGAGCACACTAAGGGTTAAAGTCAGGCTACGCCAGTTAGCTTCATGCTAATCCCCATCAGCAGCAGAACCTGAATGTTCAGTTCTGAGGAAATGCAGCTAATTTAGTCTAATTGCTCTGTTTCCTTGAAGCACATCAACACCACTCAAGATTTATTCCTGAAAACTCCCCGAGTCGGACTTCGGCAATATGGGATCAGATCGTCCTTCTGCAGAACTTTCCTGCGCTCCACATGAACCAACTGCAGCTAAACACTGAGCTCACATAGAGAGTCAACAGTGTGGGCGCCTGCAGTCTGGGGGCGCCATAAAGAGGAGCAAGAATAAAATGTGATTTTCACAATTATTTTCCAAACCAGCATAACAAAGAATATTAACTTCTACATGTAATAATAATACTGACAGTTAGCTTAGCGTCCCTGGCTCCGTTTTCACTTGATGAACTCAAATAGTTTTCAGTTTATTTCCAAAGAAAATATTTTCATTTCATTTGAGCAGCAGCCACTCCCTGATCCTGCCTTTGTTCTTCTGATGACTCAGCTCTTCCTATTGTTAAATCTGCTACACTTTCATCTGCATAATGAGCTGCAGGAATGAGCAGCAACAGAGATGTGATTCACCCATAAGAAAAATAATCAGATTTCACCTCTGGATGCTCAAAGACCCCGGATCAGAACCAAACAAACAATATTTCAACGTTTCTGATTGGTCTGAGTTTCCAAACTGACATAAAGTAAAAACCTGACAGGACGGATCAGGAAGGAAGAGGGTTCTGGACGGATTCTGGACGGGTTCTGGTGTGAAATCAATCCCTGAGTTCCAACTAAAAACTCAGAACCGCAGTAGTAAAATCCTTTATGATGAAGATGATGCTCTGCTGGCGATCTTCATCACACCACAGAACCATTCTTCCTCTGCCGAGACGACAGAGGTCTGGCAACCAGTCCATAGCAACAAGGAGCTGCAGGTCCAAAACTACACATCCCAGAATGCACTGAAACAAACGGCACTCATCAGCTCAAACACTTACAGTGGTGAGCTGTCCTCCCAGTCCATCCACCAGTACGTCCACCAGTCCGTCCACCAGTCGACCCAGTAGAACCCGGAGCCGCTCTCTGCTGCAGTAGACTTGGACTGAGCCACTCGGTCTCTGAAACCTGAATGTTGACTTCCCAGGAAGTCACCGTTCATTTCAGCTCCTCCCTGCAGGAAGCTGCTTGGAGAAAATCCAGAGGCTGAAACGACCTGAGAGATATGATCTGATCATTTATTGATCAGTTATGATCTGATCATTTATTAATCAGTTATTAGATGAAATGCAGAACCAATCTGGATGGTTTTAAATGTATTTGAATAATTAAATCATTCTGTACCGAGGAGAGCTGTGGTATTACCTGTAATTGAATGCTAACTGACATTATATTTAATAACAATAAAAGTTTTAAAGGACAGATAAAACAATATTCTAATAATCTGCATTTAATGGACAGCTAGGGAGATTAGGGTGATGGTCAGGAGGCCTTCCAGCCTTTATTTGATCATCAATAAGTAAACTGATCAAACTGTTGACTTTTCAGATCAATTTTTATTCCAGTAGAAAAGAACAGAAACATTAAAATGACTTTAGTTACAAAACATCAGACATCATCACCTCCACCATCACCTGCTGCAGGAAACATGGAAGAATCTCATCGTTCAGGTCCTGGATTTATGTTTTGATTTAATAAAAACAAAATGAATAGAAATAAACCGTCCAGATGTGATGATTTATCTGGACGGTTGATTAATTACTGCAGGTTGAAATGAAAGAGTGAAATAAAAACGTTAAATATCATGAATCTGTTTGTTGGACAGAATCAGGCTGATCATTCTTCTTCTGCTTCTTCTTCCTCCTCCTCTTCCTCTCCTTTGCTTTTCCCGTCGTCTTTCATCTTGGAGCGAAGACGTTTGAACAGAACTGCAGACAGGAGAAAATAAACAATTACAGCGGACGTATGGATGAATAATAATAAACATATTAATAATAGCATTACTAATAATGAATATTAATGTATTATTAATAATAAGAAGACCCTGTATCTTTTATCGAGAAGCGTTAAGTCTAGCCCCTGTTCAGAGGGAAGCAGATGAAGTCACCTTGCTGGGAGAGCCTGAGGTCAGAGTGCAGGGCTGGGTCAATGCGTTGGACCTGATTGATCACCTTCTGGCAGTCTTCAGCTCCTCTCTCATAAACGATGTCCACCAGGCAGCTGGCCTTGTTCACTCTGGTTCGGTTCTTCTCCAAAATGGACTTTCTGTCTGAGGCGCTCAGCACCTTATCGGCCACCAGCGCCTCCACCACCTGCTCCAGGGTTTCCTTGGACACCTTCCTGATGAAGTCCAGGAGCATGTTCTTCGTTCCTTTTTCTACAGCAAGAATGACAAGACAGGAAGCATAACAGATTTTTCACTTTATTCTGAAAAGACCATCTATTAGTGGTTCTGGCTGACCGCGGATGGACCCCCAACCAGGCCAAGAAGAGTTAAATCTTCTTGGCCTCCTGACGTTAGAGAGAATGTTTCTACTAGTTGGATGATGACCTGTTAGACTTTATTATACAGCTTTCAGTTCGTCAAGCTTCACCACCACATTCCTCCAGAGAGAGGAGGTTTCAGCATCTCAGGAGCCTCAGCAACACGGCTCGTACGGTTGGGGAACATCAAGGTTTTCAACAACCACTGAACTGTAGAGCCTTCACTTTCATCCCTAACATTTGGCGTTCAGCTTCTTGAGAGGCAGAGTTTCTATCTTCAGTTGAAAACCATTTATCAACTTCACCGAGTTCCTCAAGGTCTGTTCACTTTTCCATGTGGCTGAAGCCAAAACCTTGTTGTGCAGGATTTAACCTTTGTCACTGATTCTACGTTGAGGGGTTTCCCCTTTGGTGGCCTCAGGATTGAGCCTTTGGTTTTTCAGATGATGTGGTCCTACTGGCCTCATCTGGTCGTAATCTACAGGTTTCATTGGAGCGGTTTGCAACTGAGTGTGAAGTGGCCAGGATGAGGATCAGTGCCTCCAAATCCGAGGGCATGAACTGGAGCAGGAAAAGCAGGTTTCTTCACACCAAGAGGATCCAGTTGATGTGGCTTGGGTATCTGGTTAGGATGGACGCTTCCCTGGTGAGGTCATCCAGGCACATCCCACCAGGAGAAGACTGATAGGAAGACCCAACACACACTGGAGGGATGATGTTCTTCTTATGGGAATGCTTTGGGATTGCCCCGGAGGAGCTGGACGTCTGGGTCTCCCTACTTATTCTGCAACCCCCAAACCAACATTGGATAAATGGCAGACAATGGTTGGATGGATGTTCAGGATTATCCAGGATTATTGGACCATTCATTACAGTGAATCCTCTCATTAGTTGAAAGGTCAGGCCCCAGAGATTTATGCCATTATTCTCTTGATCATCCTCCCACAGTCCTTTGTGAGTCCTCAGTTGTAGCAGTGACTTCAGGGCCCTGAAGTTTCTAACTTGGATTCCTGCAGCCTCTGGGTCATCTACCTCAGACTCCTCCTGGATCCTCCAGTTCAAGACTTTGTTTTTGGTGGTTTTTTTTCCTTTCTTTAGTTTCACTGAATCCATGAGACTCCTGTCCTCCTGCCTAATCTTGGACTTCTTGACACAGGCTATAATTTCTCTATCTATCTAGACTGCATTATGTTTATGCATGTTGACTACAGTAATAAACACTTACCTGCTGCAGCACTTGGAGAAGATGGATTACTCAACTGCTCATCATCAGATAAAACATAATCTGAAACCAGCAAACCAAAATTTTAGTCTTCTGCCTACATGAAGAGCCAGACTCTTGCTGTTTTCATTGACGGACCTGCACTGTCCTTGAGCTCATTCAGAACTTTCTCGACTTCTTCTCTGGTATCAGAGCTATACATCTTCATCATCACATCTGCTGCGTCCACCTTCCCTCCGTCCTCTACAGGAGCTCTTTTCAGGGATCTGATGCCGCCCTTTAGCTTGTCGGTGCTCTGCAGCACCATCTGGCAGTACTTCAGCTCTTTGTCGCCCAACTCTTCGAAAAAGTCCAGAATCCAGTGCTGTATGCCATTGCAGTATAATGATTAGTATTTTTCTGAAGTGAATTTGTCAAACTGGACTAAACTGTATAATAGATACAAATATTGATATATTTACTTGTGCTTTATTGCTACTGATCTTCTCCAGGATCTTCTCTGTGACCAGCTTGACCTTCCCAGGGTACATCTGCAGCAGCAGGTCCAATATGTCCAATCTGTCTGCATACTTCAGGCGGCACCTTCTGATTGGTTTGTAGCCGTCTTTGGACTCATCTGCGGTCCGCAGGTACCAGCAGAAATACTTCACCTCCTTGTTCCGTAAATTTTCCAGCGAGTCCTTCAGCCAATGCTTCAACTCCTTAAGAACAGAAAGAAGGGACACCAATTAATTTTAGTAAACTATCGAGTTTTCACCAGGCAGTGTGGTAGTGGTTTATGCTGTGAATCCACCCAGTTATAGATAAAGATTTGTCTTACAGCATCCGTGTCCCATGGAGGACAAATCTGGTGCCAGGATTCTTCCTGTTCGTCGGATATCAACCTTTTCAACCTATGGATTGGAAGAGTATGGATATTACTACTGAGAACATATTTAGCTGTAAGTATTGACCAGCCCAAATGGTTGTTTCTAAGTTATTCAATCAAATTATGAGAATAAACTGGTGTTGTAGTGTTTGAACAGTCCTATCCATTGCTAGAACCCAATGTACCTTACCTTATACCACTGAAGAGACGTTTCTTGACCTTGTTATCTGGGGAAAGGTCAGAGACGGGTTGAGGAACACATGAACAGTCCATAGACACAGGAAGGACTGTGGCTTAAAACTGTAAATGCACCTGGGTTAGAAGGTGAACGCAGCTCAGAGGACAGGTGAGGGTTGATGGTTTGAAGACGGTTCATCAGCTCTTTGGTGGCGTCGGTTCCCTTCTCCATCACGATGTCAACGAAGCAACTGGCCATGTTGACCCTGGTGTGGTTCTGAAGGATGGTCTCCTTCTCTGATGACATCAGGGTCTTGCCAGTCATGAGAGCCTCCATGAGCTGTGATAACGTTTCTTTTGGTACCTTCTCCACAAAGTCATTAAGCATCCTGGTGAGCACTTTCTCTGTGGGCAGAAAGAAAACAGAGTCACTGTAGTTCCTTCTGGGAATGAAAAAATACATGCAACATGCAGCAGAATGGATCTCTATAGAG